AGACTTAAAGTTTTGAGTTCAGTAAAGTGTAAAGTTGAAGTTTATTTCTTCAAAAGTATATGGGGACTAAGTATTCCAAAGAGATTTAAAATGTTTTCACACTTAAATAAGAATGGCGACTGATATTTCCAAAGAGCCTTCGGGGTAGTTTTCAGAAAAGAGTAATCGCTTCCTAAATGAAGCAAGAAGGGAAACTTTGATTTCAAAGATAGCCTTTAAGCTAAGTTTTTGAGCACTAATCTCAAATCACATAAGAATTATGTGTTTAAACATAAGAGCTAATATTATTATATTTATTGGAGTAGTATTGAGCACCGATATGGGGGAGAGTTCAGACAACTCACAGCCCCCATAAACCATGTATCCATCATGGGTAGAAAAGGGTCATACTTTTTAGATGATTCCATTAGTGATTTTTAGTATAGACTAGTGGATCCACTTAGTAGTTCAGGTCATATGCCCTTGGCAAGGTATAGGATGCTCTGGCAGCATGAGGGAAATCGATGTATCATCACAATAGCTCTTACGTGATGGTTGTTGGTTAGAGAAACTCCCACATAAATTATTGTATTCTTATATACACAGTTATTTGTATTTTTACATACATTTCAGAGTTATGTTGTATCCTTGCATACACAAAGTTAACAGCATATTTTTAAACATTTTGTTTCTTTATATTGCACTTGTTTTAAATTGTTTTATATTGAAATGAGCTCAGTCATATTGAGTTGAGCCAGGTAAGTTCTTTAGTTTCTTTTAGATTCTTCTCAAGTCTATGTTGTTTTAGCATTCCAACTCACATACTCGTACATTCAATGTACTGATGATAGTTGGCATGCATCGTCTTATGATGCAGATACAGATAACTAGGATCGGCATCCGGTGCACCGTTGATCCAGTTGAGCACTTCAGAGTCAGTGGTGAGCCTCCTTGCATTCCGGAGGACTCCTTTATTGCTTTTAGTTCTTTTCAGTATTTCATTTGTTAGGATGATCGGGGGTCCTATCCCGACATCCATCTCAGTTGTTTTAGAGGCTTCATAGACAGTCAGATGTTAGTTCTTTAGTCTTTTCATTGTCATTATTCCATGTTGAGACTTGAGTTTTCCTTAATGTCAGTTGAATGTTCTTTTATAACATTCTAGTTTATTATATAAACTTATTTTTGTTGAGTTTAAGTCTTTCGTTGAGTAAGTAAGTCAGGCCAGGGGTTCGCTTGGGCCAGCAATGGTTCTCGAGTGCCCGTCTCGCCTAGGGCGTAGGCTCGGGGCGTGATACACATGCCGAATTTCTAGTCATTTTTCAAGTATTGGCTCAATCCATGATGACTCAAGCTAATAAAGAGGCTAATACTCATGTGAACCTAAATGTGGGTACGACAACGGCAAGGATAAGGGAATTCACTAAGATGAATCCTCTGGAATTTTATGGGTCTAATGTTGATGAGCATCTCCTCAAGAGTTTATTGATGAGGTGTTAGATGCATAGGAAAAAATCCAAATACCCTTTTAAAAAAACTATCCGGCAGCCCTACGATTATGACCTACAGCCCGTAGGAATTTCTACTGCCCGTACGGGTGAATCGTAGAACCAACTTCAGAAACCCAAAATTTAATCATTTCCCATGAGACCATTCTACGGTCCGTAGACCTCATCCATAGAACATAAGTTTCACTCCAAAATTTCACTAAGTCTAGAACCTTTCTACGAAATCACCGTACGACCTATAGAACAAACTACGAACTGTCAAAACCTTCCATAGACCTGAGGTCTTAAACCAAATCTTTGGATCTATCATATGAGTGTCATCTACCCGTCAAAGCTACTACGGGTTGTCCTATCAAGTCATAGGTCAAACTTCAAAATCTTGAAATTCTAAAACTCAACCCAACCTTCTACGATTGCCTTTCTACGGCCCGTAAAACTTCCTACAATTTGTAGATTGGACTCGTAGTTCACTGTTTCAAACAATTTTCTACATTTTTCTTTCCTTTTTTCACTTACCAACTTCCAAGGTGTTACATTTTGGGTCTTGTTGGTTACCCCAGATCAGGTCTTGGGTTCCAAATTAGAGTGGGTCCCTTATGACTCTGAAGGAGGTTTCTCTCTATGGAATCTCCCGTATGATAATGAATGTGTGACTATAAAGTTCTTTAGAGTGTACCATCCATGGTTTGAGGTCCAGGCTCATTTCTAATAGCAACAGTTCGTGGTTCGGGCATATGTTTATTGGCCACGGTTCATAGTGCAGGCACAGTTCTCGATGGTTTGGTTCTATTAGGGTATGTGGGGTGTCTTAGCTGTGGTTTGAGGTCCAGATATTGATAACGTTCAAATATACCTTTTGAAAAGAAATATAAACGATCGTATGCAATATATTTACCCAACTATGAGTCGGGGTCGATCCCACAGAGAATATGGAAGAATATTGTCAATAGCAAATATTTAACTCGATAGTCGTTATATCAAAATATGGGGATTTAAATTGAAATAAAATAAAAACAATAAAAAGATAGCTTTGAACTAAGTATTTATTTATATTCAGGTTATTAAAAGTAACTAGGAATGTGTTCCCCATATGCTCATAACGCGGTAATCCTAATAATAGTAATCCTTTTCTAGTGTACTACATGCAAAGTGATAAGTTAGGTATCTCTAAATCCTTGGTCCGGCATCTAGAGAATTTCACCCCGCACCTTGGTCCGGCTACGTATGTATAATTTACTAACCCTTACTTTTACCTCATATTAGACATCATAATCGATGTTTGGCTTAGTTATTACTTCGCACCAATCGACACTAGCCTATTAGATAGTATCACACTAAATCTATGTTGATAATTCTTTTCTTGTTGATTACCTCCTTGGTCCGGCAAGTAGCAACAAGGCGAGTTCTAACGCGTGCACTCGTTAAAAAGACTTCTAAACGAAAGAATTATCAATGCATGCAAGACACTATTCAAGAATTGCTTAGTTATTATTCGTACTTTGTTAATCGCTTATGGTTCCCACAACCCTAGTTATGAAAGTTAGCTACTTATTATCTCAAAAACACAATCAAAATTCATTAAAATAAATATGCTTGTGTTAATCATAAAAAGTTAAGAACAATAACTAAACTATCTTTTATTAAGCACGAATACAAATAAATAATAAAGGAGAAGAAAGAATAAACCACAATTCTCTGGCCTCCACGGCGGCTCTTCCAAAGTTCCTAAGCTAGAAAAAAAATTATATTGTGTCTTGTATCTTGGTTCTTGGCCCCACCCCACAAATAATTATTTCTATGCACTATTTATAGATGTAGGAACCCTAAAATAAAATAATTGAGTTCAAGACAAATTAGGAAATTAAAACCCAATTAAATTGGGTTTTCCGTATTGTACGCGTGATTTCTCCATATTCCTGGTGCGCCGCCTTCCATAATTCTGCACAGTTCACATGATGCCACGTGGCAGCAGCAAGAAGCACGAGTAGGAATTGAAATTCCACCATTTGCAGTCGCCATTTCCTTATGTATATAAATATAAATTATTTTATTAAATTTAATCCATTAAACTGTCTGTTTGATTTCCTTCTTCAACCTTCCATCTTTAATTCGTTTTAGCTCCAAACTTCTTCATTTTTCCATCAATTTAATCCTACAAATAAAATATACAATTTAACACAATTCATAAAATGCATGCTCAAAAAGGACAAATATAAATAATAAATGTGAGGAAATAATGATTAAAAATATGTATTTTTAGCCTCACATCAGATATCGGTTTATCCAATTCTAGATATATCCAATCTTAGTTAGGAATAGTGTTAGCTCTTTTGTGCACTCATCAGATTTATGGGGGTCGGTTTAGGTTATTTTATTTTTAATTATGCACGAGTGTACCTTCTGGGCATATGGGGTCCAGTTAGATTATAGTTAGTTGTTTTACCTTATCGCTCTATTTCTGCTAGATTGTCGAGGATCATAGTTAGAGTTTCCAACTATTGTACCGTTTATCTGACCTCTAGTTACAATTTATTTCCCCGCTTTCCTTTATGTATTTTCTTTCCAAGATCATTCGGCCTATGATGCCTACTGGTACACTTGTTATCTCGGTACCCATGCTACGCTCTGCACCTGTTTTTCCATATGTATATCCGAGCGCCATTCGACAACGGTGATTATGGGTAGCAGCAGGGACTTCTGGAGATCGACGGTGAGCTGATGACGTCCTAAGACTCATTTTCGTCTTTATATAGTTTTTGGCTAGTCTTTTATATATAAGACAAGTTTGTGCTTACTTTACTGATTTCGGAGATTGTACTCACTTTTGTAGCTTTGTACCATCATCCAACATGTCGTGGAATAGGATCATGTACTATTGTTTAAATATTTATGTCATTTCTCCTTTTCGTTGTTATTTCTCTGTTTGGCTGATTGTCTTTCTGATGTTTTAAGGTTTCTGCCCAATATGCTCGTTACTTGTCGTTAAGAGATATGGATTGACTTACCCACCAGTGGGTTTTGATAAGTGCCATCATAACTCGAGTTTTTAGATCGTGATCCCCTTCCCCTCTCCATCTCTTACAAATAGTAATGTATATAATTGCCTTTTCCAATAAGTATGAATAAATCGCATTTATAGTATAGTTTTTGCTCTAGCATCTTCTAATTTGCTTCTTCTTCCTTTTCCTATTTCCTATTAATAATCTTGGTATTGAAAGTTTGCAACAAATATTTTGCCAAAATAAGGGCAGTGTGGAGGAATTTATATAGACAATAAAGTTGTGATTCGAAATTTAACTTTTAAAAAACAACATAAATTATGTTCTAAATAACATGGTCCATATAAATGTTGAACCAGGAACACACTTTAATAATTTACATAAAAGATACATTAATTTTGTAAACAATTACATAGTTCCTCTAAAGATAGAGGTGAAATTTTATTATCACAAACGTTATAATTGAAGTGATCGAGCTCAAAACAACGTACCATATTAAACATAAGTTATTTGACTAGGTGTAGAGATAATTTTTAGGGACAAGGCAAAGAGCATTTTTCTTATTCATGATAAGTCCAGGCAAACCATCTGTATCAATTTCTTCTTTCATCATTCCATAAGGCAATTCCCAATCAAATGCATACAGAAGATTTGAAAGTATAAGATTTACCGTTGTAACACCGAGTGAAATACCTGCCGAAAGACAAATTCCAGATTTAATCTTTATAATTTTATAATTGTGAGTTCTTTGAAAAGTATGGGTTTGACAGATGATTTTTAAAGGGAAAGTTATATATAGTCTATTAACATGCACGAAGTATATATACACAATATATGTAATAATAATATTATTGTGTATAATAATATATATTACATGTATAGTATACACATATTTGATATAATGTATATACCACACATATGATTTGTACATATTTAAATTAAATAGTTCAAATGGTTCAGGCTCGTCGATCTCAATTTTGAATGCCATTGCTAATATTTTTCACATAAAATTTATAATTTATATTTAAAAATTGTGGAATTAATTGGACTTATCGTATAAATTATAAATCTACCACGGAATACCTGGGCAACCTCTCCGGCCTGCTCCAAATGGAATCAACTCAAAATTTTGGCCTTTGAAATCAATATCGCTATTCAAGAATCTCTAAGTATAAATTCTTCTGAATTTTTCCATATTTCAGGATCCCATGCAATTGCCCATGAGTTCACATGAATTATTGTTCCTGACTGAATTTCATACCCTTCTAAAGTGGATTTTTTCATTGATTTTCTTGGCCATAGAAGTGGACCTGGTGGATAAAATCTAAATGTTTCTTTTATCATTGCTTTAAAATAAGGCATGTTTTGAATATCATCTTCATCCACAATGCCTTTGTTCCCAATTGATTGTCTGATTTCTTCTTGAACTTTCTTCATGACTTTTGAATTTTTCATCAAGGCTGTCATTGACCATATTACTGTAACTGCGATAGAATCTGATCCAGCAGTTAATATATCCTATATAAAATAAGAGTAAAATGAAAGAAATTGTCGAATCATGAGAAATTCTCAAAAGTAGTGTAGCTTATACATGTATGTGAGTTTAACTTGTGTACACCGACAATATAGTATATCTAATCGGTAAATTTAGAAAAATAAGATTTAAATTTATGTATACTTTTCAATATAAAATTTTTTTACACAATTATGTATACTATCAATATATAGAATTATTGTTTTATCTACAATATGCATATATTGGTTTTAGACATATATCGTTGATTACTTACCATGAAAATTGCTTTTATGTTGTCCAAAGTAAGATCAGTTGAAGTTGATTGCTCTTTCCTCAATTGAAGCAAAAGATCAAGAATATCTCCTTCCATTGATTTTGGCCTATTGGGATTGAGATGTTGGTTAATGAGTTCTTCAAAAAACTCATCTAAATCCTTGAAATTCTTGTCAAGTTTTTGAATATTTCCAAATAATTTATCAAGCCAACCAAACAAAGGAAAATAATCAGAGAAAAAAAAATGTGCATCATATCTTGTGTCACAGTTAAAAGTTCATCAAATTTCCTCTTTTCATGTGCTTCTTCATCATACCTAATGCCAAAAGCAATTCTACAAGTAATTGTACGTGTTAGAGTAATCAATATATTACTCATATTTATAATTTGTGAAGCGGTTATTTGTTGAGATATTTTTTTGATCATTCTTGATACTTCATCTTCACGAATCGATCTAAAAGATTGTACTTTCTTGAGACTGAGCAAATGAACAACACAAACTTTTCGCATTTCTCTCCAATAGTCACTGTAAGGTGCAAAGGCAATATCATGACCATTATAAGAAATTTTTTGTCGGCCAAGAAAAGCGGGTCTACTACAAAATGTTAAATCTTGTATTTGTGTTACCTCTTTTGCTAATTTTGCTGAAGAAATTACTACCATAGTAGCAGATCCAATTTTCAATGAGAATATTTTGCCATATTTCTTGGAAAGTTTCCGAAAATAGATATGAGGGTTTAAACTATCATATTGATGCAAATTACCAATAAAAGGTAGCCCTACTGGACCTGGTGGCAGAAAGGTTGTTCTACTCATTTTGGCTTTATGAAGAAGAAAAATGAGAATAATAGAAAGAGATACTGAGAATAGAAAGAACATCATTTTGTTGTCCACAACTGCACAAAATACTAGTCACTATGTCTTCTTATATATACAAATAAATGAATCTTATGAGTAGTCCATTAGATATCACTATAGAAGCAAAAAATCATATTTAGTGGCAATAGATTTTTTTTTAGCGATAATATTTACTGCTATTGATCTAGCTCCGCCTTACCGTACCATCTTTAGCAAGATAGTAGACTTATTTAGTCGACCATTAGGATGGTTAGGAGGTTTGTTTTATGGCCTTCTCCTTTGAATTTTTTTGCTATTTTAATAAATACGAGGTAGAAATTAATGTCAATCTGCTTCCTCACTCTTCCCATGCGAGGTGAAAGTCTCCTTGAATTTATTTTCTTCAAAAACACACCTAAACTATTCTCTTTTTTTGAGTTCCATACCTAAACTATTGAGAGTGTGAATTTCATACCTCATCTATCACTTATTAGTTTGAGAAACACACTCTCAATAGTTTAGATTATCTCTTTTAATCATTTTTTAATATATAAATATAAACAAAAATTAATCGGTCCATGTGTTCACGTGAATTTTAGACGATACTTTAGATCAACCCCCACCTATCACTCAAGCATTTGCGCAATTACTTGTTAATTAAGTTCTCCCTCAACCAACTATGAAAACCACTTAACTTCAATATAATGTATAGAGTTATGAAATCTAAGCTATTAATTTGAAAATCGTAGTTATTACTTAGTAATAGCCACAAAATTCAAATTTCGTAGCTATTTATAAATTCGTAAAATATTTTAGCCACAAAAGTCAAACTAGCAAAGCTAATTTCTCATTTTTCTATAATTACTAATATCGTGACGATAATTGCCTAAATAGCTACAACTTTATTGCTATGATAAAATTATGTAGCTAATCATAGGTTTTTGTCACGCAATAAAAGTTATTGTAACTATAGTGACATTTTAGCCACAATAAACTATATATTTGAACCAAAATATTGTAGTTAAATAAAAAAAATTGCTTCAAATTATAAAAAATTGTGACAATAGTTAAATGATATAACCGCATACTTTTTGCCATAATAAAATTTTATAGCTAATTATTAAGATTTTTCACGAGTTACAATTTATTGTAGTAATAGTAATCCTTTAGTTACAATTTATAGCTTTGGTCATGTTACCTTTATCAAAAAAAAGTAATCCTTTAGTCACAATAAATTATTAGGAAATTTTTCAAAAGAGCAATATTTTAGCTTTTAGTGGGACTCCTTAGCAACAGTTTCATTATTTATTAAAAATGTCATTATTTTAATTTGTTAAGGGATTAGTTATGTATTTATTTTATTTTGATTAATTTGAAAGAATACATATAATTAATAACAGAACAGAGAAAATCATGGAACAAAAAAATCAAAAGAGGTAAAAAAGATTTTAAATATAAATCAGTTACGTTTTGAAAAGAGCATAAATAGTCATATTTCCGTCGAGCGTTTTTTTGCTTTCTTCTTAAGAACATAAAAAAAAAGTTAAAATAATTTAGTTTGTCTTCCGAATCATTCATCTGATAACTTTCAAAACTTCTTCAAGTTGAATACGACATATTTTTTAAACATAATTTTTCAAAATTGACAACTATAAATTTGTTGCATTCAGTGAACAATCGAAAAATAATCAGGTATTTTTTATTTTTTTTTTATTTTTTTGAATGAGATATTCGTATATGTCGAGTACAAGAGTGTTGTTTTTTTTTCTGATTGAATCAGTGAAATCTTTGTATGCATTGGGATTTATAGCTTTTTTCGAATGTTTTGTATCCAAATTATGATGTATAACGAATGAAATTGTTTTTTTTTTAGTTTAGTAGCTGTTTTTTCTATTTGAATGCATACAATAATTTGTATCCCATTAAGTTAATGTAACTAATCGATCATGAACTATATGTTGAATACAACAATATATGAATACAAAAATGAGATAAAAATACAAAGTTGTAAATACAAAGTGAGATTGAATATAAAGTTGTGAATACAAAAGAAATTAAATACTCTCTTCATTTGAAATACAAAGTGACTTTGAAAGGTAAAGTAGGCACATAAAATACAAAACTTGTTGGTATACAATTAGGTTGAATACAAAACAAAAGAGAAATACAAACTTGTTCACATATAAATTGAGATTGAAATACATAATGAATACCCAATAAAATACAAAATTGTTAGCATACAGTTAGGATGAATACAAATTAAGAAGGAAATACAAACATATTGGTATACTAATTGAGATTGAAATACAATGCAACCCTTGGGTAATACACAAATCAAATGAGGGAAATTCCCCAAAATTTTAAATATTATTAGGTATACCTCTAGTAATTCTGATTGAATCAGTCATTGTAGACAATCAGATGTTTTCCCCGTAATCTAAAACCCTAAAAGCAAATTTTGATAATATCAAATTTTAAAATGTATTAAATATCAAACAAAACAAACATATATATGAATTTCTAGAATCTACAAAATCAGAAAAATTAAAAGAAAATCACAAAAAAAATGAAATTAATAAATATATGATGAATATTTAAACAAAATCACATAAAAATGGGAAAAATTGACTGAAAATCCGTAATGTATAGAATCAGTGATTTAAACATCAAATTAAAAAAATCAAAATTGATAATGAAAATTATCTTGCCAACCGAGAAATCTGCTTGAATTAATAAAGAGAATTCGTTTAATAATAAAGAAAAATTATTGATGAACAACAATTTAGCACTTTGAAGAAAGATAAACTTGAAACGTGAAAGCTGGGGAAGAAATGTGAAAGTTGGGGAAGAAACGTGAATGGTGATGAAAAAAAGGTTAATGGTATTGGTTTAATTTATTTTTTTCACTTTAAACAGTTATTGATATATAATTTGGTCTAATATAAGACTCTTTCCATAAATAAAATTAATTTAAAATACTAAAATCTGAATACATATTATTTTATAAAAATATTGTCATTCTGCCATTTTAAATAAATATTTTAAAGTGTTGTTATTTTGACTAATTATGTTAGGTATTATGACTTAATTGCTAATTTTCCCTAAATTATTTGAAATAAATTAGGGTGGCTAAATGAATATATTTGCTTCAAGTCACAAAAATTTGCTCAATAGTTAAATGATATAGTCATAAAATTTTCGCTAAAATAACATTTTGTAGCTAATTATTAATTTTTGTCACGTGTTAAAATTTGTTGTAGCAATAATGACCTTTTAGCCATGAAAAAGATTATTTAAAATAGAGAAAAGGCTAAAATACGCCTTCGAACTTTAAAAAAAGACTCATCTATTTAAGTTGTCAATAAATTATTCACAAGCATATATTCTTTTGATAATCCATCGCTAAATAGGATTAGTGACAAATTTTGTTATTTAGTTACAAAATTTATTTGTCGTTAATTCCTATTTCTTTTAGTAGTATTGCTTGTCTTACAACTTATGGACCTTTTAAGGACAGTCTAAAGATCCTCTTTGAACAATTGAAAATCTTATGAGAAAACGTTAAGACTACAAGCTAATTTTTTTTTAACATTTTTTGCAAATATTTGGCAACAATCTAATGTTTTTTAAAAGGTTAAGCAGATATGCTCCTTTGATGAGAAATGCGAAACAAAAAAGAAAAAAAATGATCCCCCGTCTTTGAAGGCTCGAAGCATCCTCAGGTCATTGAGGATGGTCAAAGCAATGGAATTTTCCGAGGGGAGCAGAGAATTCTACTCCTTGATTAGGCGGTTAGAGCCTTGATTATGAATAAGCCGTGAATTTGAATAGTCAGGAGCGAGGTTCTAACATAGAGTAGAATCGAACATGGAAGAGATTCATTGACAACAGTAAAAAGGTGGGTGAATGCTTCAATTCTTGTTCCCACACTCGCTGACTTGGCTAAGTTTGTGCTGCACTTACAGCACTCCACAACGATTAGATCTGAGCCCAACATTATCCGAAGAAATAATTTTCAAAAGTTATATTTGCATAACCTTTGAGTTTTCCTGTATAACTTTGAACTCCAACAGGAATGGACTTGGTTGCACCATGTAATTTCACAAACTATCTAGTCTTTGTATTCTCCACCCCCACCGGCCACCCCTCTTATTTTTGTAAATTAAAGAAATTTAAGTTATATAACAATATCCATAACAATGAAAAATATTTTACATGTCTATCGAAATACTACTCAAGATATGACAATAACAAGATAGT